CCCCTCTTTCCCTCCCTTCTGTACCTTTGTGAGAAGAATCAGAGGAAGATGCTCCACACAATTACAGAAGGGCACCACCTTCCAGGCCTACAATCTCATTGCAGGTGAGGAAAGTGAGGCCCACAGAGGGAACAAGTCTAAACCATGGTTTTTAAACTGTGTGTTTTAAAGTGCTCTGGAACCTCTGTTCACAGGAAATCATCCAAGAAGTGTAAATCAATAAATCAGAGCCGAGCTGATGGGCAGCCTTGCCCCCAACCTCACCCTGAAGGGCCCCAGGGAGGCCCTTGGAGCAGTTTTAAATACTGGTATAAAGTGACAGACAAGCCTAGCCATGGGTCCTCCCCAAAGCCATGGCAATGGTCCTGTATTAACTATATTTTCCTCTTTTCTGTAATCTTGACACTTTGGCATCTGGGGCTTCTCCAGCTAGCAAATTCCTGGATACAGCAAACAACTCCCCTATGAGTATGCCTTTCAAATGCAGCCAACCTTCTACACGCAGAGCTATACCCCCCAACCACCTCCTGTATCAGGCTCTCACAGGGCTCCTCCACTCCAGGCCAATATCCCCCTGTCCTAATCATCCCAGGGCCAGGTATCAGACAACTAGGGTCAGCCCCTGCGCCCTAGCACTGGTCAAAAGTATTCCAACTTGCCGATCATAAACCCACTTACCCTGCCTGGCCTGTTCCTTCCCTTGAAAAGCACAATAAGTCTCCCACCCAAGCTCTCCCCTCACGCCCCCTGCCTCCTAAGGACCCTGGTGCTTCCCAAACCCCAGCCCACCCCCACCATGGCAGGGCCCTCCTCCTGGAGACTGTGAGTAACAAACTCTTCTCAAGAGCAGTCCTCTTCCAGTCTGCTGGCCTCACCACTCTTGGAAAACGATGAAACTTACATTTTTAAACAGACCCATTCTAGAAGCAAACATTATCCCCAGCAATCTTAGAATGTGAATCAGAAAATTCACATCCAGAGGATGCCACAACTTTGGAAAAAGCCTAATCAGGGAGGTCTCCTGGATAACTTTCAAAGGTGGGTAGAGAAGGGACCAAAAATGAGGGAGGAGGCACATGGCCGGGAGCCACAGAAAAGGACAGGATGGCCAGGAGGAAGATCCTGGCAAGAAGGCGGGAGGCAGAGAGGTACCAAGGCAAGTGTGCCTTTGGGAAGAGACAGAAAGAAAACGGGACCGGGGCGTGAGACCCGGCGGCATCAGGCAGGGCAGGCTTCAGCTATCCAGCTCCTCCTTGACGGTGATGCGCAGGGGGCAGATGCGCAGCGGCTCGGGGGGCCCGTCCCCCCGCGAGCCACCCAGGTAGAAGTAGGGCCGTACCTCCCCAAAGCGGGCGTGGAAGGTGTACAGGTGGCAGTGGCGCTCCGCGTCGTAGAAGGACAGCTCACCCTCCTCGCACTCCAACTCCACCCGCAGGCGGCGCGGGATGGCGGGGACCAGGGGCGATGTGGCAGGGTCCGAGGTCACGCAGTGGTCGCCGTCCACACCCTGTGTGCGGCACACGTACCAGAAGCCCGAGCGCGTGTCGTGGTAGCAGCTGTGCGAGTGGCCCTCGGCGCCCGCATCCTGGCGCATCCGCACCACGCCCACGCGCCAGCTCGGCAGTGCCCCCAGGTCCACCTCCCAGGCATGCGAGCCCTGCGACAAGACGCAGGAGCCCAGCAGGCAGGGCGCCGATGAGAAGCGCTCCGGATTCTCTACCTGGACCCGGTAGCCGTGGTTGGTGACACTGGTGAGGTCGTCTGACACGGATAGCCAGCCAGCCGCAGTGTTGGGATCAAAGCTGAAAGGCACTGGGCGGGCAGTGGGAAGGGAGTGGGTGAAATCAGCAAACTTGACAGCCCGCCCTGCTGTCAGGCCAGCCTGATGCCTCCGGTCCCCCTAAACTGACAGACTGTGTCCCACTGGGCCCAGTGCATGGAGGCAGCTGCCCTGGGCTGAGGGGTGGTGTTATGGGTTGAAATGTGCCCTGCAAAAAAGCTATGTTCAAGTCTTAACCCCCAGTATCTCAGGAGGTGACCTTATTTGAGAATGGGGTTGTTGCAGATATAAGTATTTAAGATGAGATCAGACTGGAGTAGAGGGGGCCTTTAATCCAATATGACTGTTGTCCTTATAAAAGAGGAGAAGAGACATACACACATAATGGGAAAAGCCCTGTGATATTGGAGGTCAAAGTGCTGCAGCCACCAGCCAAGGTCTGACAGCAAATACCAAAAGGTAGGAAGAGGCAGAGAAGGACCCTCCCCTACAGGTTTCAGGGGGAGCACGGCCCTGCTGACACCTTGGTTTTGGACTTCTAGCCTCTAGAAGAATAAATTTCTGCTATTTTAAAGTGTCCAGTCTTTGTCCCTTGTCCGGACCCCGACAGGAGGCCAATGTAAGCAGGGATCCTGACCCTGACACAATGCCTGTGACATCTAACAAAAGCATGTACCATGCCCCTGGGTTACTGACATTTCTCCCTGTAAAATCACGTTCAGACTGCTACTCCAAAAGTATCAAGAGACTGGGTGGCTTAAACAACAGAACTATATTTCTCACAGTTCTGGAGGCTGGAATTCAGAGACCAGGGTACCAGCATGCTCAGCTGCTGGTGAGGGCCCTCTTTGGTTTATAGATAGCTACCTTCTTGCTGTGTCCTCACACGGGGGAGGGAGAGACAGAGAGGAAGGCAGCTCTCTTGTGTCTCTTCTCAGAAGGGCACTAATCCCATCATAGGGCCCCACCCTCATGACCTCTTCTAACCCTAATCACCTCCCAAAGGCCCTGCTTGCAAATTCCATCACATGGAGGTTGGGGCTTCAACATATGAATTTGGAGGGCAGGGGGCCATATAAACATTCAGTCCACAGCACATGATATCGTGACTCATGTGGGCTGGAATCACCTTGGAGAGGTGCTCCTGAACTGAGGAACTCTTTCATTATATTATATATACGATATGTTTCGGAATAGAAAGGGAAGTCAGTTGCTCTTTCTGAAGAGGTGGCCAAGAGTCAGGACCCAAAAAGGAAGGGTTCGGCCAGGAGGGGTTGGAGCAGTGGGGCAAGAAGGGAAGCAGGGCACGGGGGCTTGAATGAAAGAGGCTGGAGAAGGGACCGGTGAGGGGAGGAGGAGGAGGGGTGGGAAGCTGGAAGGAGTGAGTTCAGCTGGCTCTCTGCCTTGCACGACCTCCCCGCTCTTACACCCGCCTGGGCCCCTCTCACCAGATTCGACACACACGAGCATCTTCCTCCAGACTCGGTACTGCAGGGAGTCCAGGTACTTGCAAACGTCGATGAGCATACCAGGCTGGACAGGCTCCGGTTCCATCGTGCAGAAGAGGCTGGGAAAGGAAAATTGGGCCTGGTGTGCTGGGCCAGGGCCATGCATCCTGGGGCCTAACTGGGTCAGCTGGAAATAGGATCCCTTGCCTCAGGCCTAGACTCCCTGGCCATCTTACTCAATACAAGAGGAGCCAACTGGGCAGCTCACACCCCTTCAGGACTCAGTACTTGAGCCCATCCTGCCCCCACTGGGATACATATAAATAGGAGGTTCTCAGGCATGCATGTGGGCAGAAATCACACGTACACATGAGCTCACAGGGTATATGAGTTGGAAGGCACCTTAAGGGTCCTCTAGTCCCACATTTTGAAGGTGTCACTGGCCTTTGCTTCAACACCTCCAGTGACAGGGAACTCACTACTGCCCAAAGCACTTTCTTCCATCTTTTTTTTTTTTTTTTTTTTTTTTT